CCGGGGGAGGCACTCGGAGCCTGGACGGTGGGCGGCGCAGGGAGGTGGGCGGCTCAACGCAGGAGTGCCCCCTACTGGCCCGCCACAGCATCAAAGCGCATAGTAGGGCTGTGCGAGGCTTCGACCCTGCTTCGGATCCAGAGAAGCTTCTGATGCTTCGGGGTCTGAAGCATGTCCAGGTCAAAGCGCTGGCCTCGTTAGGCTTCCTGAAGAGCTTTGGAGCTGCCTTAGAGCCGCCTCGGAGATCCGGCCATAGGGTATAATGGGGAAGCAATAAAACATCTATAACTTTGTTGTTTTTTGTCCGATTTGGATGCAAGTTTCAGGGGTGGTAGACTGCAGAGAGCATGAAGCTTGCCAAGTGTCAAGAATATTGGTGCAGGGGCTTGCGGGGAACTTCACCTCAAGCTGCTGGCAAGCAAAACTCGTGACATGGGTGACACTGCGTGTGTTAGGGCGCAGCGGGGTGACAGCTGCAGGGTTGGTGGCCCCTGCTGTGACACCTGCCAGCTGTGGAGGAGATCGGTGCAGGGGGAGTCTGGGCCCCTACATCCCTAGCTGCTGATGGGCAAAACTCGTGCCATGGGTGCTTGTGGGACTGACTATGTCTGTCTTGGGGGCGTGGGAGACACTACTGCAGGCCTGGGCGGTCAGCTGCTGTGTTACCAGTTACCAACCAATCAGTTACCAACCAATCATGATTCGCTCAGGGACCAGCTCAATACACAGGACCTAGCTAATGTAGCCAGTTAATTGCCATCAATTAGCACCTACAAAGCCAGGCTAAGGAGAGGAAAGAATCAATACAGACAATCAGCTGTCCCAAGAAATGTTAATTTGTAGAAATGTTCTGATGAGCAGACAATTCATTTTTCCACTGATGGCATCCCTAAGAAGCAGGGGGTGAGGGGAGACGTAGACAACCTAGTATAGATATATGGTTGGGGAGGCGAGATCAGGAAGACCAACTAAGACAGGAGCTAGCAGCGGGGAACTGGATGCCAGCCAGAGGGACTGTTTGGGAATCGGTGAGCAAAACACATTTACTAGCACTGAGGGAAATGGCTCCATAAAAATGGAGTTGCATGGTAGTTTGGATGAGGAAACATTGGGATAACAGGGTCTGTCCTGCGTCAGGAGCGCCGACTGAGGCACGATTAAGACACGGAGTCAGTAGCGTCAAACTGGACACCACAGCAGTACACAGTGGACAATACTGGAAATGTGTTTCACTAAGCAACACCAATTTTTCCCCACAAGAGAATGTGACATTAAACCAGGGGTCTTGTGCTCAAAACGGTTGCTGGCATAGTTCAAGATGCCCACTCTTCATGACACCAACACACGTTATTGAAGCTGTGAGTAGAGCACATCTACTAACACAAACTGGTTTTAGTGCAAAAAAAATAATTTTAATTAAATTGATTCACTTATTAAGGAGCAAGGAATGATCCATAGGTAAAACAATTGATCCATGCCGGGCAACACCTGCTGGGAAAAGGCATTCATTACACCAGAAAACTACCAACTGAACTGCAAAGTACATGAAATTACCAATGAATTCAAGCAGCACCTGGTGGCCAAAGGGTGTCAGAACACTTAAAGTGGCGAATTTACCTGTGTGCGACATGTACACGTGTCAGAAGTATCATGATAAAAGAAAGCTTCCTAGAACAACTGGCCATGGTAAAAATAAAACATCTCGGAGGTGGTCTAACTTGTCATGATAAATCAAAATCTGACATGAAAAAGAAGCGTGTACATGTATTTGGTTACACAACTGAGCTAGAGAAGTGGTGATTTTTCATACCGTTTCATAACGTGTATGCCAACAAGTCATAACATATACAAGTGTCCTTGCATCTTAAGCTCTGGCATGCTCGGTAGATGGGTTTGTGACAGCAGCAACCTCTGGGGTGAGGACAGAAGGGTCAGAGACCCCACTCCAGGGAATGCAGCAGATCAAGGCTGCTGCCCGGGCTCCCTCCATCCAGGCCAAGAAACCCTAACTCAGCCAGTTGCCCAGCTCAGCCCTGGCTTTCTGGGCATGCTGCCCTCGGGCATGGCAGCAGCTGCTCAGTACAGAGCTACAGCCACAGCCACTGCTATGCTGCCACTGGAGGCACCAGGCTGGGCATCAGCTCCTGTGGTTGCAGCCCTTGCGCCCTGTGCTCTCTTTTGCAGGCCAGGTGGATAGTGAAGTGTTACTGAGCAGCATGGGATGTCCCAGACATTGAGGGCTCATGCTGGGGTCAGCGCAGGTCAAAGGTGGGTAATGGTCTCATAAATGTCGCTCTTGGATTGGTCCCCCCCTTCTGATGCCCTCACTTTGGTGGCTGAATCCCAGGAGGGCTTGGGACTACAGAGCACAGCATAGGTGACAAGGTGTCCCTGTTGGAGAGAGCACAGGGGCAGTGAGCAGGGTGGGCCATGAGACATCAGCAGGCAGGGAGCACCAGGCTGGGGGGGGAGGGCATCACACTTACATTATCCATCTGGGAGGTTCCTGTGGGCTTGGCTGTGAGAAAGACACAAAGGGATCAGGCCTGGGCAGTAATTTGCACTCTGGGACCCTGGCATCAGCCCCCTGCACCTCCCCAAACAGCTCCAGCTGCATGATGTGCCTGGGACCCAAGGTTGAGGGCATGGGACCCCAGGCCTCTCTCCTACCCCTGCGCCAGCCCTTCCTGAACCTAGGAGCTGCATCCTGCCAACATGGACATGAAGCAGGAGGGGCCCTAGGTGTCTGAGCTTCCCTGACAGCTGACACCAGTCCTGAGAACAAATCCTCACCAAGGCTCTGCAGTGGCTGGAAGCTGGTCATTTCCCTTGCTGGCCAGGAAAGTCAGAGATGAGGGGACCTAAACTCCCCCTAGAAACCCAGATGCACTTGTGTCTCTCTCACCCACCACTGTGTTATACCCCTCCGGCCTCTCTAGGGAGACACAGCTCTGTGCCACTCACCGCCACTTCTTTTCTGGATGCTGACAATGGAATAGATCACGTCTCTGCTCCCCTGCTCCTGGGGACACACTGGAAGGAAAAGCCAGGTCTCACTTAGGCCTTGTTAACTCCAGAAACAGTGACTGTGCTGTGCACCTCCTGCTCCCTGGCATTGCAGTCCCACCCAGGCAGCCCAGGCACAGAGCCCCCAGGCAGGGGCAGATTGGCTAAGGCCATCTACAGTTGACTGTACTTCAGCAGGGATGAGCTCTGATTGAGTCAGATCATTGACTGTACTTCAGCAGGGATGAGCTCTGATGGGGTCAGATCCCCCCACCCACAGCCGCTCAGGGTCCACATGGAAGCCTATTAGCTGAAATGGTCCAGCTGTGTTCCTCCACCGTGCCACGGGGCAGTCTTTAGGTATCTCCCAGAGTGTCTTGCTTCCAGGCCTCAAGCTGGGGATTGTGGCAGAGGTGTTTGGTGGGCACCGTGATGGAAGTGGTCTAGGACAGAGTCAGTGTGGAGGTGCCAGGTCCACAGGGCAACTTTGCCTGGCCAGTGCAAACATGCCAGCCTGTGCTGAAACAGGACAAGTGCAGCTGGTTTAGTTCCCGGTGACCAGTCCTCTGGTGCTGGGTTCTCAGCGTGGAGGCCACAACTCCCTGCCCCTTCTGTCTAGTCACTGGAAGAGGTCCTGCCTGATCCCAGCTTGATAAGAGGGGGCTCTAAGAGGCCTGGGGTGGAAGATGGTGCAGCAGATGGAGAAGGCATCTAGGCAGGTCTCTAGTGGAGACCAGGCAGGGACTCCTGCCTCATGCTGACGTTCATAAGAGCCACCAGGTCTGAGCAGAGCCTCCCAGCAGCCCACCTGGGCTATAAAACCAAAGCAGGAGAATGTCCCTACTACAGCTCCAGCCTGGGACATTGCCCAACTCTGATCATTAGCCCCCAGCTCAGTGGCTCACATGGCTGGTAATGGGGGGCCTTACCATTGGCATACTCTAGCTCCAGCTCACTGGACCCCAGGGTAGCTGGAGGAAGCAGCCCATGGGCAGGGGGCTCCTGCTGGACTGGGCCAGGCGTGCTCCTGTGGAGAAGAAGATGCAGAGAGCTCAGGGGAATGGTATGGACACGTGCAGAGCAGGGCATGGGAAGACAGACAGGCACCTACATGTAGGGGCCAGAGTCAGATTCATGCCAAGGGCTTTCTGTGGCTGGAGAGGTGCAAGGGAGAATCAAGCCCTGGCAGGGTCTGTTCTGAGTCTCAGCCCCGTCCCTGCTCTAACTGTGGGAACAGTACACTGTTTTTACAAGAACACTTTGTTTTGCAAGTCCGAAGTGGCTCAGAGAGAGATAGGGCTGCTTGTTGTTGTAAAGAGTGTCTGCACAGCATTGCTAGAGCCTTGCTTTTAGCAAGAAGGTGTACTTCTTTAACAGCACTGATCATTACACTACCAACACCTGGTCTCAGACGCTCCCCTGATTCTCTCCAGCAGCTGCCACAGACCAGGCAGGGAAACCCCTGGATGCCCCTGTCCACCATGCCACTGCCCCTCTGCCCAGCACTGCCCTCAGTAAAGTCCTGCTGGAGTCTCTGTACCCAACCCCAGTGGGCATTTCCCTTTGTGCGCTTCCTCGGGGACAGGGTTCCCTGGGATCCGGCGGCTGCTTAGATGGTAGCTCAGACTCCCAGCTCACAGCCGGTGCCGTTGTTGGTCATAGGGGCAGCAGTGTGGAGGATGCTGCCCTGTGATTGCTATGCTGGGCTTGCAGCTTAGGCCTGCAGTGAAACCCCCCTGTCCATGTACATGGTGGTGCCTCCACCCTCTCCCAGCACAAGGCTCTGCAGCCCAGCTGAGGGCAAGGGAGGAACCCAAAAAATCCTTAGCTCATCTTCCCCTCCAGGGATCCATCTCCTTCCTGTGCAAGGTGAGTGGGCACTGACTCTGCTCTCTCCACACAAGCAGCCAGGATGTCAGCAGCAGCCTGTGACTGCGATGCCTCCATTCAACCTCTGGCAGGTTCAGACTGGGAGACAGGACCAGAGGATCCCGAAAACTGCACTGACTTTGCCTGTGTCACTGGAAAGGCCACAGCCTGGGCTGGGCTGTGACACAGTCTGACCCTGTCTGCCCACTTGGCCTGACTATCATTGCCATGCACCTGGACAGAGTGTGCCCTGCTGTGTGCACATCCTGACTCACTGACCAGCAAGCACCAGGGATGACCCTTTTGCACCTAGCCCAGGATGGTGGCAGTGGCAATGAGACAGCCACTTGCAGAGCCTGAGTGAGAACCAGCTCCAGTCATCACGGGGAAGAGGCAGGAGCAGGAGAAGCTGAGAGATGACCCAGGCACTGGGCACAGAATAACCCAAGAGCCTTTAAACAAGACAACATTGAACTCACCCCTCACCCCACTCCTGCCCCCAATGCCTGCCTGCTCCCAGTGTTGTCCCCAAAGGACAATGTGAGTTCGTGCCCGGTGCACTTTTGCCAATAAACACACAGGGGTGGAGGATCCAACTTAATCTTTATTGTTTCAAGTCTGCGCAGAGAGGGGTGCTTGGCGATCGTTCGCAAAGCAAGCACCACCCCATTTGGCTTGCTTCAGCCTTATATAGCTTTCTCCCACTTAACACGCTGTACCGTTACTATTGGCTGCCTTTTCTTAGCCCATGCGCATATTACCTTAGCCACAGAACATGTCCGTACTTGTCTAGGCTTGCCTACATGGCACTTCTTTCCCAGCGGGCGAGCATTTCTTAACATACATATACCACACCCCTCCCAGCACCAGCAAGCTGCCTTAAGTATTCAGTTAGATATAATTTGCAAAAGCTAGATATACCATAAAAAAAGATTACATCACCAGGGCTGTACTCACCTCCACCAGGCACTGAAACATATCTCCCCTGCAAAGCAAGTGAGAAAAGGGGCATTAGACTCTTCCCCCCGGCTGCCAGGTGTGGGTGGCTTTTGCTAGTGCATAAGCACAGGGGACAGGGGCTGGGGGAACTGTGGTGGGAAGAGTGATGGAGAGGTCAGCTTCCGCTGCATAACCTCAAGGGCTGAGCACAGAGCAGCTGGCTGGGGTGAGAGAAGGAGGATTTTGAACCAGGGCCCAGGCTCAAGCTTCCATCCCCATCCCCTGGAGCAGCTCTTGGGCAAGGAGCAGTGAGAGTCCAGGGCCTCCTGGGCCCCTGGGCACACAGTTGTCCCTGTGGGGCTGGCAAGAGATGGGCTGCGGCTGCGGCAGGGCAGAGAGGGGGCAGGCACTATGGCCACTTAAGGGAGTTTGAATCCCCATGTCTGCTGCCACTTTGCATCCACTTTCCCCATGAGTGTCTACGTGGGCGTGATCCTCAGACATGGCCAACAATGCCCATGAATTTCAGCAAGCTGCCTGCATGGTGAGGTCTGCATGGCACTATTGTTGTACCATGCAAATAAAGTCCATAGGGGTCTTTGGGCCACCCCCGTCAGGTGGCCGATGGTGTTGCTGGTGCCCGGCTGGTGACCGGGCAGGTGTTTCTCCTGGAACACTTTAAGACACTAAAAAATTCTTCAGGGCCCGCCACTCTACAAAAGTCGGGCGGCTGGGCTCCCGAACATTAAACAAATATTACGGGGGACAACTCATAAGAAAACAGGGTGTGCGTGCGGGGTCAAAGGTTCAAAACAAGTGCTCCCCCGGGGGTCAGTGAGCAGAGCACCCCGAACAGCGCCCACCGGCTGGCAAACTGCTTCAGCTTGCCGGCGGCTACTGCCCAGTGGTGCTCCGCCCGGAGACGCGCGCGAAGGACACCAAGGAAAAACGCCCCGAGGTGACCGGGAGCCTTCCCGGCCAGAGCCTCCTTCCTGGATAGCCAGATGACCAGCTTGGCCAGAGCCAGGAGGAGGTTGACCAGTTGGTCCCGGGCCTTGGTGGGGCGGCGGATGGGGAGCATGGCAGGAGCAGAGTCAAGGGAGACACCCACCTGCTTTCTGCTGGTGCCTGACGCAGACCACGGCAGCCACAGTGGCACCGGCCAGACACAGGAGGGTGACAGTCACACCCACAGCCACCCAGGTACTCGCATCCTCTGGGAATAGAAAGGAAACATGCTCATGAGCCCCCAGCTCTCACAGCACCAAGCAGCTGGGAAATATTTACTGCATCCATCCATCCAGTCCCTGGTACTGCAGACAGCATCTCCCATGATCCTCCAGGAACTGATCCTGCCCCACTGCTCTGACTGGATGGCAGCTCTAGAGCCCCACACCTCCGAGGGCCCGGAGCTGCCTTCTGATTCACAGCCACCGCAGCTCCTGCTGCTTTAATCCCATCCGCCCTTGTGCCAACACTGGTCTTTCTCTTCAGCTGATCTTGTCTACACCTGGTGCTTGTCCCCAAGCAGCTCACAAGGACCACAAGGCCCATGTCCAGCATGTCTCCCCACACCTTACCCAGGCAAGCCCACATCCAAGAGGTGCTCGACTCCCTGAGTGATGCACCAGTCCTCCCCTGTGCTACCCCAGCCTGCATTCTGCCCTCCCACAGCACTAATCCTTCCCTGTCTCCACTGGCAGCACCTCCCAATACATCCGGGTACATTGTACTCCATAGATGCTTGCACCGGCAGCTCAGCCATTCTATGATGGACTGATTCATCCTGTGTCTCCTCAGTCTTTCCCATTTAAAGAGATCTTGGCTGAAGGCAGCCTCAAGTGCCACATCGAAAGACCACATCTGGAGCCCTGCATCCAGTTTTGGGCCCCTCATTACAGAAAGGATGTGGACAAGTTTGAGAGAGTCCAGTGGAGGGCAACAAAAATGGTTCAGGGGCTGGAGCACGAGACTTGTGAGTAGAGGCTGAGGGCACTGCGCTTATTTAGTTTGCAGAAAAGAAGACTGAGGGGGGATTTAATAGCAGCCTTCAACTCCCTGAAGGGGGGCTGCAAAGAGGACGGAGCTGGACTGTTCTCAGTGGTGACAAATGACAGAACAAGGAGCAATGGGCTCCAGTTGCAGCAAGGGAAGTTTAGGTTGGATATTAGGAGAAACTTTCTCACTAGGAGGGTGAAGCACTGAAACAGGTTACCCAGAGAGGTGGTGCAATCTCCATCCTTGGAGGTTTTTAAGGCCTGGCTTGACAATACCCTGGTTGGGATGATCTAGTTGGGGATGGTCCTGCTTTGAGGAGGTTGGGCTAGATGTAGCCTCCTGAGGTGCCTTCCAACCTCCATTTTCTAGGATTCTATGATAAGTGCGTGACCCATCCTGTCCCCAGTGCCCTGGGACTTAGGGTCACCCCGGCTGTTCTTTGCAATGCCCTGATCTTCCTCTCTTGACAATGACCCCCTGCTGTGGCCCTTGCAGAGCTCCCTTGCACCATCCTCCTTTCTGTGCTAAGGTCATTCATGGAAGTGTCAAGTAGCATTGGTCTCAGGACTGACCCTAGTGCAGTGCCTCTGATAACCCCCCCCCATCTGATACTTCCCTTCCAATGCAGCCTGGGATGCCCCTCCTACCCACCTTACAGCCCTAGCACTATGGGCACAGGGGTGTCATAAGCAGTAATAGCCCCTTGCCAATACCGTGAAGGGAGTGCTGGACCACTACAATTTGCACAGGGCCTGGTCTCTGTCATTAGCTTGCAGCACCTCCCAGCTTTCCTAACAGTATGATGCCCTCCTTGCTGCCCCTACTGCCCTATGCCCCTCTCCACTGGAAGGGACCAGGCTCCAGGCAGGCAGCCCAGATCCTGATGAGGGCAGTTACAATTCCAAGCCAGGGTGGGCAATTATTTGAGCTTGAGGGCCGCTTAGGGAGTTTGGGTGAGCTGTTGTGGACTGGGTTAGCCCCCACCCAAACTTTGTTGTGCTTTGTCAGCACTGCCTGCCTGCAACATCTCGCCAAAAATCCCTAAGTTACTCTACCCCAGGGCCCAGCCCCACGCTCTCACCACCTGGCAATCTAAGGTATTCATGGAGCTGGCAGGCAGGGCACGCTTGGCCAGGTGGATGAGATGGGGCTGAAGGTGGGTGGGGAGATAGGCACCAATTCTATGGGCAGTTTCAGGGGCATGCAGGAATCCTGGCTGTGGCTCTGCCCCGGGCCTCAGCCCTGTGCTTTCACAGCCCCTTGATCCCAGCCCTGGCCCCAGACCTCCCCACCCCTTCCATTCCCAGACCCTGCTCCCCACCTGTCTGTGGCCCCATCCCATTTACCTGGCCAAGCCCATCCTGCCCACATGGATCCTGGACTGGTCTCCATTAAGATCCCACCTGCCCGCTCTGACCAGTGTTCCCCAGCGGTTGGTGCAGTACAGATGGGCCAGGGTGCCTGGGCAGCAGGGCTGAGTCCAGCAGCGGTGGCAGCAATACTGGCACCAGCAGATGGAAAGAGCTGCTGCTGAGGCTGCCAGGAAGTGGGGTCCAGCTGCTGCATCACCCCAGCCCTGCTGCACATCCATGGGTGGTGGGACAGGCTGCATGCATCACAGCCAGGGCTGCCTGCTGAGCCTGGGCTGTGTGGGGCCAAGGGACCCACCACAAACTGAATAAAACCCCTTGGCAGCCGAGATCCAGCCTGCGAGCCATGTTTTGCCCACCCTTGGTTTAAAAACTCCTTCCCCACTATGACCTGTGAGGCAAATGTAAGGCCTGGCTACGAATCAGGTTGGGATCTCGGCGGTACCAGAACCAGGATGGATCCCTCCTAGTACTAAAGCCTGTCCTCATCTTGTCTCACAGTGAAATCCAGGCTGGGTGCAAAGCCCCAATGAGGTCTTGAATCTGACTCTGCAGCTGAGCATAACCCTGACCCAGGTCCTACCCCAGCCCTTACCCAGCCCCTTCCTTATCCAGCCCAGGCCTTACCTCTCACGGTGATGGCCAGAATCTTGCTGGAGGCCTGGAAGACTCTCTCCAGGCTGAACTGGTTGCTGGCGATGCATTGGTAATTCCCCGCATGGCCCAGCTGCACTGACTCCACATACAGGACGTGTCCCACAGGACTGAGCAGACCCAGCCCTGAGGCCACGTCCAGCTCCTGGGCATTGTGAAGCCACCTGAATGCTGGGTCCGTCCCCACCTGCACCGAGCAGCTGAGATTCAGGCTTTCTCCCACTGTGAGCACCAGCTCTGGCTTATCTCTGATAATGTTAGCTCCAGTCACAGGCACTGCAAGCACCAGGGAGAGGGTGTGAGTACAGGATGGGGCTGGAGGCAGCAGGAGGCCAGAGGGGAGAGCTCCTGCTCACACTCCAGTTCACAAGGAGAAGAGAGGAGTGAATGGGGTGGGGTGGGAGGAGCCGCTATGCACCAGCCATGAGGACAGAATGGGGGGGACCAGGCAGGGCACTTGCACCCAGGTGTGGTAATCAGGAGGGGGAAGGAGTGCGGTGGGTGAGGGGCTTTGTGTAGCCTGGCTGCACCCTGTGTTGTGTTGCTCAGAGCAGCTGTGTGGGCTACCGAGGCATTGGTGTCCAGACCTCCTGCAGCAGGGGCAGGACAGCAGGGGAGGAGGGGTCCCACACACCCAACACAGTTAGCTACCCTGGAGCCCACACAGGTGGGTTCCAGGGGCAGGCCATCAATGGGGGGCAGGCCATGACAGGGGTGGCACGAATCTCATGGACACGCCTGGAGCCCATGCCTGCTATGGGGTGTTATGGACCCTCATGTGGGTCCAGGGCCACACACCCAGGGCAGTGTGTAGGCTGCTGTAGCTTCTCTTCCACTGGTTGTTTAGCTGAGGCAGCTTGTATTTCTCTTTGAGAGCTAAGGGAGGGCATTTTGTGCCCCAAATCTTCTCTACCGTCCCTCCCAACTGTGAGGTTGGCCTAAGACAAGACATTGCCAAATACATCTTGCATCTTGCTCATTGGATAATCACACCCACAGCAACACTCCAGCACAGCTCCTCACTCTATCTTATTGCTCTTTCTCAATTACCCAAGGAGACCAAGAGGAGGAGACAAGTTAGAGGTGATGGGCAAGAAAAGCCCAACATGGGATTTCTCCAGAGATATTTCTCACTGTGGCCACAAAATGCTCTTCAGGAAGATGAAGGGTTTCAATGGGATGAAAACATGGCCCCAGACCTGGCTGCCAGGACCCACCGTGGTACCAGAGCAGTGACAAGCAGGTGCTGCTGCCCCAGACCCTGAAGGGACGCCCCGCTGCCCCCGGCCTCCTGCTGCCGCAGCCGCCTCCTTTGTAGCGCTGCCTGCGCGGAGCAGCCTCCCGCCTCCCCTCCCAGCAGCCTGGGCCCCAGCACCATTATCCACCAGCACCCGCCCCACAGGGCCTGGGGCTGCCGAGAGTCACACCCTCCCCAGGGAAACAACACGGCCCCATCTTCCCGTCAGCTGGGACCCACTCACCCCACACTGTGACTGTCACCCGTGGGCTCAGGACCGGGTCGTGGCCATTCGAGGCAGCGCAGTAATACTCCCCGGCATCTCTCTCCATGGCAGCAGGGATCTCATAGTCCATCCTCCGTGAGCGCAAAGTCTCTGTCCTCAGAGCCAGGCCAGAGCCCTCCCGGTGCCAGGAGAAGGCGAGAGGCCCCGTGCCCGCAGCCACGGAGCAGCTCAGCACCAGCCGCTCCCCTGCCACCACCTGCCCCTTGCGGGGCTGCACCCCCAGGGTGACTCCGGAGACAGGGACTCCTGTGGGGAGACCAAGAGGGGAGACGGGCCTGTTTTGCTGCCTGAACACAGCTCCAGTTTGCCACCCACCCCCATACCTGTGCTGCTGTCTGAAAACAGCCCCACCAGAGTTGCTGCTGCCCCCTGGATCCGGGCTGGGAGGAGCCCCATGCTCTAGATTCAGGCTGGGGGCCAGTGTGAGTTTGACACCCCTGTCTCCTGCAACCTGCAGACCCTGCCCCACAATCCCTGTCATGGGCACTCACGTTTAACCTTGATTCCTTGCTCAGGGCTCTGTTTCCTTACACTTGAGGTCACTGTCTGCACCACACAAAAGTAGGGTCCTGAGTCTGCCAGGCTTGCTGCTGGGATGTGGTGCACAGGGGAGCTCTCTGGTCCTCTCACAATCGTGCTGCTCTTGTAGAAGGAGTACTGAAGCTGTAGGTCTGATGTCCAGGGCTTGGGCTGCGTGACACACCGTAGGGTCAGTGGGCTTTCTTCCCTGGCTTCAGCTGAGCCGGCCACCCTCAGCTCGGGTGTTGAAAACAGCTCTAGAAACACACCAGATTGGGACACCCCACAGCCTCAGCACTGCTTTCCTTCCACTACCTTCCCATTAAGGGGATGAACCCCCAGGTTTATTCTGGAGATGGGGACTCCTGAGGGGAGAGGTCAAGAGAGGATTGGGCCCTGCTGCAGTGATCCAGCCCTGGCGTGTGGGGACATCCAAGCGGCTCAGCCCCTTGGAGCTTGAGCAAAGGGGCCTTTGAGCTGGACCGAGCTGGCTATGTGCCAGCACAAGGGGCTCCCACCACTGCAGGTAAAAGCTGTGTGCCACTGGGTTGGGCTGAGTTGGCTCCATGCCTCCACATGGGGCTTCCAGTACTCCGGTGGGGAGCCACACATGGAGGCATGGAGCCCACCTGGCCGGATGGCGGTGGGTTACCATGACTCCCGGTCCACGTGCCAGCTAGGTGGGTGAGCCAGATGGTGACCAGAGGGCAGGGCACTGTCAAGGGGTAGGGTTCCCCTTGCGGCTCTTGACATCTCACCAAAACTCAATAAACAGCTCTCCAGCCAAAATATTTGCCCCCCCACCAGGACTAGAGGCACCTGGGTGAATTGCAGCCCCCTGATGCCATCCAGCCCAAGGGATCCTTTTGCCCCCCAGGTGGTCAGTGCCCTCCTGCCATGACTCCCGTGGCTGCCTCATCTCTGCCCAGCCCAACACTTCCAGCAGTACCTTACCTTGGACAAGAACCAGCACCTCATTAGAATATCTTATAAAATAAAGAGAACCAGATAACACTTCTCCTTCACATCGGTATGTGCCACTGTCTGTTGTCTTTGCTTGATCAATAGTATAACTGGGCTGAACAGGCCTTGGTGTGATGTCTGCTCCATCTCTGTAGTATCTCATCCCAGACACTTCACCACCCCTCCACACACGACATCTCAGAAGCAGCCGGTCCCCCTCGAACACTGCATAATGCGGGGCCTGGAGAATCAGCCAGCCTGAAAGAGAGAGACAGCAAGCAGGAGCTGCAGGGACCCTTGCATGATGTACCGCACTCCTCGTACCGCACTCCTCGGCATGCGCTGCCCGGCAGGACGGGGGCTGCAGGCTACACTGACAAAGGCAGTTTATCCACCAATGTGAGGGAGGGGCAGGCACATGGAAAGGTGCCCTGGGCCCAGCTGAAAATGATCCAGAGACCCCTCTAGTGCTGGAGCAGAATCAGAAAAATCTGCCCCGGGGCAGGGGCAAGAGAGTCATCCAACAGCCAGAGGGGCAAGGCCAGACTGAGTGAGGGGGCAGGAGGGTAATTAGTGGTGGGTCCCAAGAGTGGGTGATATGGGTGGCGGCAGCACAACCGGCCATCCAGCTGGCAGCTCCTGAGGCAGGGGCTGTGCTGGCTGCCTGCACCACTGCCCTGGGAGCTTCAGGAGCAAACCCAGCACATGGTCCTGTCCTAGGGATTGATCCTCCTGCGTGGGCACAGCCCCCACAACCCTGCGGTGCCAGAGCAGGAAGTGCCTGCCCCACTGCTGCCATGTCTTTAGCAAACAGGGACAGCATCCCAGGGTCTCCCTCCTGTGGCTGCAGAGAACTTCTTGGTTGGTCCCTGGTCAGCCCTGAGGGGGCTGGGGAGTGGAGAGGCAGGGCCCCCACAATTGTCCCCTGCCTGCTACCGCAGGAGGTCTCATCTCCCCAGTGACCACCCCAAAGCCCAACAGTCCCACGGCAGGAGAAGAGCAGAACACAACCCACTTGGGGCCCCTGGACTCACCGCTGGAAACAGTCAGCTCGATGTGGTCACTCCATGTAGAGTCACTGGTCTTGCACTGGTATTTTCCTGCATCTTCCATTTGTGCAGCTTTAATTTGGAGGTTTGTTTCTGTTGATATCCAGGAATATCCCTCCAAACACCAAGAGGTGGGGGTGCTTCCAGGAGGGCGGGATCCCTTGCATGACAGAGTGACACTCTCGCCCCTAAACACGGTACTCCAGGGAGGGTTCAGGGTCAGCACGGCCTTCTGTGCAGCTGCTGGGGCCAGGCAGATGGGGAGGGAGCAGGAAAAGGGGAATTTAATGTACAGGTGGGTGGGATGAGATGATCCCAAACCCTGTACACAGGGGGCAGAGCCAGAATACTGGCCAGGGTTACACTTCTGGGCTGGGATTTCAAAGTTGCTCAGAGGAATTGGGGGTCCAGCTAAGTGCCAGCTATTGCCTAGTACAAGGGTGCAGTGGGGCAAGGCCACAGCAATGCTCCTGGTTTCTACCCTCCTGTCCTACTCCAGGCAGCACCACGGGGTTGGCGAATGGGTCCTGTCCAGTATTAGGGACAGTATGACTGTCTCTCAGCAGTTCCCCTCCCTCCCTGCCTCCCCCTCAGTGAGAGGGGATTGGCAACTGTGAGGGGGTCGGGACCTTGGAATTTGTGCAGGAAAATCAGAAACAAGAGCACTCACCGGCTAGGCCAAGGGCGTGAGCTGCAAAGATAACAAGACACAACATGGATGCAGGTGAGGTCTGTGTCTCCCTCAGTGCTGACGGCAACCCTGAGGCTGCCCAAGGAAGCCCAATGGCCTGTTCCCTCCAGGAGGTCAGACTGGCTGCCCACAGGGCTCTCTTCTGGCCTTGTGCTCTAGGAGCAGACTCTGGCCCCATGACCTGCCAAGAGAGGGTCCGAGCCGTGAGCCCAGGACACACGGGGAGCAGAGACCACATGGGGAGTGACTGCCCCAGAGCCCCTGCTGGCTATTTCCACATCCAAGCTCCATTTCCTGTTGCCCAACCTACCTTCACCTCCAGCATCCACGTTGGCATCACCACTGATCACAGAGGCAAAGTGCCCGCTTAGCTTTTGGGTCTTCTCTACATCATCTTTCACCTCAACCCATGCTCAATGCATCACAGTCCCATTTCTTCCTGTTGTTCGTGCAGCAGAAGAGTCTTATGCTCTTTGCAGTCATTTCCTTTGCAAAGTCTGTCTTTGATGAACCTGTGTCATCTTTTATTGTGGTTCACAGCACCCCATCTCCAGGACACACCTTTCTTTGCTGACAAGCCCTTCTGGCCATTCCCTGTCAGCTCTGGTTCCTCCTAGCACCCTCCTCGCAGAGCTACTGGCCCACTGAGGTCAGGAGCTCTTTGCTACAGGGAGGCATCTGAAGCCCCCATGCAATCTGCACCTGCTAAGAGCTCCCATGACAGATAAACCTTGCAACTTCAGTATTACATCAGCGTAGCTCAAAGCCACTGCTGTCAAGCTGAGGCAAGGACTGATCATTGCTTTTGGGAAGCACCAGACATAATGAGAAGTAACAGCTGCAGCAACTGGATGCTGCATCTTTTGGTAGGAAACGTAACCATGTACAGTCAGCTACAATCCCACTGGATAAACAGTTTGTGAAAGAGCTGGAAAAGAAATTGAGCTGGGAGTGCGGCGGTTCCAGAGCAGCTGCTCGCTGCACATAAAAGAGCCCAGCATGGGACCACACGTGGTGGAGATGGGAGCAAGAGGCATCTCCTCTAAGAGAGAGCAGGGAGAGGGCTGCAGAGTCGGGGAGCTTCGAGAGCTTGGTCCAGCATGTTGGAGAAAGTTGGACGAAGAAAGGAAGCAGGGAGTCAACTGAGGATTTCCCGGAGAAGAAATAGAGGTGCGAGAAAGGGAGATGCTGTGAGAAGCAGAGGTGGGGCAAATGCTCCAGAGAAAAAAAGAAAAGAACAAGAGAGTAAGCAACGAAAAAGAAACATGCTGGGAGTTCTTAGTTTTGATTTTTATATCATTGACATTATTGACTGTTCTTAAAGAGGTTTTTGATTGGAAAAACTAGGAAGAACTTGGGAAAAACAAATAAATAAATAAAAAGAAAAAGAAAACTGAAAGTAAAAGCTTTGGGACAATTCAAGAAATGGTTCAAAAGCGCATTTGATTATGTTGTATATCAATAAAGAAGAAATAGCATCAAAGGTGTTGACAAAAGAAAGGAATTAAAAAAAAAAAGGAAGACTTTTATAAAAATAGTTATGCGTGTAAAAGAACCTGAAAGATAATAAAAAGAATAGTTCAGCTACATACGACTGTGGTTTGAGTAAGATTCTTAATCTGCGCGTTGGGCAAGAAAGGCATCAGATAGGTTAGCCACCACTGGAAATTGTGAGAGATTGCCAGTGACCTACTGCAGAAATAATACCTCCTGACTAATACCATCAAAACTAATAAAGACGTGGCAGACAAGAGTCGGAACTGATGCAAGAGGCGATAGGCAAGGCAGTCAGCGAAAACATCACAGAAGTGTTCTCTCTTACTAAAATATGGAAATGTTCATCATGTTTAGGTAGTGTAAGAGCAATGCTGTAGCTGTGGCGGTCCAGAAATTATGTGAAGGGCCTGTATAGTTGGAATATTAGACAAGGGACCTGATGAAGAATGTCTTGCATTCAAAAGCTTGTCTAACTCTAACACAACTGCAATATATACTTGGTCCAATAAAAGATACCACCCTGGCCTCTTATATCATGTTTAGTTCATATAAGCCTCTGCAGGAAAATGAGATAAAAAGGGAAGTCTAGAGTGCTTTGGGAGTCATCAAAACTAATGAACTAAGCATTCACAGACAATTAAGCAGTACCTCATGGGGCTTCCACAGAGGTCAGAGGAGCTGTACTTTATAGACTAATGATTTACTGTTTAACTGCTTGAATCAAGTGTTTTCTAGGAAATGAGGAAGTTCATCCTGTTCTCTTAACTCCCCCCTCCCCCGCTTTATATCTTGGACTTGGAAGGGATGAGGAGCAGCTGTGATGCCACAAGCATTTACCCCTTGTTTGGGATACAAATTCCAGATCATTTGCCTGAAAGATGATCTGGCGACCTCCACACTCAGGTCCCAGAGAGGCTCGGTCCAGACAGCCTCGCTGTCTGAGGTCTGTCCTTTCGAAATGGAGAACTGCTCCTGTCAAAACGTTTTAGTTTCAACCAGATCAATTCATGGTCTCTCTCCTCAAAGCTATTTTCTATTACTGCCTCTTCCATATGACCTCACCTACCACCATATGCAAGTCCCAAACAGCATCGCCTCTTGTTGGTTCAATGACTGGAGAAGAAATCTATCGATTCTCACACCTGGGGATCCCTCCGTCCTACCAACATGAGCAGCATTTGCTCCCCACTCAACATCTAACAGGTCCAAATCACCCATGACAATACAGTTCCCAGCAGCTCTTCTCTCTCTAACAACGTCGCAGAATCCCTGTCTGGATCCTACCTCAGCGTCTGCTCCTGGCTGCAGCCCTGCCCCAGGGAGTCATGCTTGCTGCCCTTCCCCAAAGCAGCGCTGCATCACCCACCCTCTCCTCACTCCTTAAAGCCCATCTCCCATCCCTGAACAGCCTCTGCCCATCAGCGCTGTGCTCCAGGCAGGGTGGCTGTTTCACCAGGTACTTACCCAGCATGAGCCGCACTGCATTTCCTCCTGCCTTGGGCACTGAGCTGCTGCCTGACGATTGTCTGCTAGAGAGCTCAGTCACCTTTACATAGCTGCTGCTCTGGGCAAGAGGAAGGAAATGGTTTTTGCCTTCACATTGGGGTTTCATCCTATCCACCCACTGCTAAGGCAGCACCTTTGTCTTGATGCAGGGCGTTGAGACAAGCAGGGAGATCAGAGGCCTTGCTCAGTGCTGCCTCACAGCCAGCTAGGGCAGGGCATCTGCATCCTCAGCCAAGTGCACTGACAGGGACACAAGAGCATCTCTAGTACTCAAGGCTAGAGGAGCTCTGATCCCAACCTAGAGCTTCCCCTGGATACAGGGAAGGGGACCTCAAGTTAACCAGGCTGGAACCAGCAGCCCTGAGCCCAGCTGGTGAGAAGATCTCACTGCATTTATTTTCCCAGATGAGGATTTGGTGCAAGTTTCGCTGCTCTCTCTGCAGGCTCCAGCATTCAGCTGCCCACCCTGGATAAGATCTCACAGGAGCCACTTCTCTTCTCCCAACAACCCTAGTGCTCCTCCCACCCATGCTGCCCAGCTCATCTGCCCCTTGCTCTACAGCTGTAACCACACTAGGCTTCATCCAGCCAGATCCTGCTTCTGTCCACAGCACAGAACCAGTTACCTCTGGGCATCAGGGTGAGGTACTCTTGATTTATACCATCAGGAGCAAGTGGGAATTGGACTCTGTTCACTTGAACCTGATGAGAAAACCAGCAAGAGGCAGGTAAAAGTGTGGATGGGAAACGCACGGGCCATGATACCTGTCAGTGTTTGCCAGTGTTGTCAGTGATCTCTAATCAAGGGATGGGCAATTATTTGGGCCTTCAGGCCACATAGGCAATTTTGGGGAGCTGTTGCAGGCCAGTCTGCAACGCCCTCACCCTGCAACAGCTCACCAAACCCACAGCCTGTGGACCCTGCAGCTTCTCAATGCTACTGCCACCACAGTTGCCCAATAGCTGCTGAGCACAAAGCCCCAGCCCCGGCCCCGGGCTGCCTCACACCCACTCGGGACTCATCCTGGCTGGAGTGGACCAGCTCCAGCCAAATGCAACTGCAAGTGGACAGCTGGACCCAAGCTCTCAGTCCCATCCGTGACCCCAGCCCACCCTCAAGCCACTCCAGACCTGCCCCAGCTGGGGTGCACACAGCCCCTGGCTAGCCCTGGGCATATTCCACACTGGCTGTCAAAGTCACCCCCATGGACCATATTTTGCTCCTCCCCACCTGTGCTCTAATCTCAGTGCCCCAGCAACGGCTGAACAGATTGCTGGGTCTGTAACAGTGATTCCCAGCTGATCTATAGTAGGGTGCTCCATGCAGGGGCCCGGGCTCAGCACTAACAAAGGCTGTGGAACTACTAGAGTCTGCTTGTTTGCATGCAGACATTGTGCCTATCAGCGCCCAGCGCTGCCAGTGTTGTGCTATCAGCAACCAAGGCTGAGTAGCTCTCTACTCTTTCAAGGCTTCTTCTCCAGGCCCCACAGGACACATCTACATGTGTGCTTTAATATGCATAATTAGCCTGTTTTAATATGCATTAAAGCATTACTAAACCCCCCCTGCTATTTAGTTAATGTGCATTAAAATAGACTAATGCGCATTAAGCATCACTTAAAACTGTGCTGTTTAGTTAATACGCATTAAGACAGGCTAATGCGCATTTTCCTAGTACCTCGCAATGGAGGTACTAGATTTAATGCACATTAATGAAAGTGCATTAATGCACGCATGGATGTGCCATCAGTGTCTATCCCAAAGTATCATACATGTCTGGCCTTGTGAGAATGTGAACTGCTGAACGTGAATGGCTGCTATGCAAACAGAGGGATGCCCTGTGGGGCAGAGAGGAGCTGCAGGTGTGGAGGGAGGGGGCCCATGTTGCTCTACAACAGAGGTGGGCAACTATTTTGGGCGAAGGGCCGCTTAATGAGTTTTGGCAAGCCATTGAGGGCCACATTACAGGCAGCCAGGGGCAGATATATATTAATTTTCTAAAGTTTTAAGGGCCCCGCGGACTGGATAGAACGGCCTGGTGGGCCACATCTGGCCTGCGGGCTGCATTTTTCCCACCCCTGCTGTACAAGCACCTGCCCAGCTCTGATAAGAACTTACAGGTGATGAACACATCTCCTTCCCCTGCCCTCCATCAACTGTGGTTGTGGGCAGTGCAGCGTTTGTGCCTGAGTGTGAAACTATATCCAGCCACCAGCCTGGTGCCATGAGTCACT